GTGGATAAACTGTGTTTAATGAGACGGAGCCACAAGAATTGAGGTGGCAAAAAAGGCCAAAGCTAACATAATAGCTGATGCTTTGTACGTTCTGCAAAGGACAGAATGCCTCAGTATGTCACATGTCAAAGAAGAAGTGATGACTTCTGTGGGGAAGAAGGCCTAAGGAGTTAAAACAACACAGCCATGTCTGCTTTCAACAGGAGGGGTGAGTGGGGAGGGAACTGCCTTGTCTGGGGAAACTCACACTTATACTCTAGGACCTTGGCAACCTGAACTGAATCTGTCTGACAATGACCAGTTTGGCAGTATGAGGACTGAATAGCAAAGGGAACCAGCTAGAACTCCTACTGAATGCCACGTTAACTTTCTTATCCCCAGTGAGAGATAGAAGCCTGGAAATAAGGTGTTGCCAATTCTCTGCCTGAAAGGCACATCCATCAGATAGGCCAGTGTTAAATCCTCCAGCACATTTTCAAATATTTTTTCATAGCACAGACTACCTTCTTTCAAATAGAAGATACACCCATGTTTTCTGACTATTAAAAAGATTAAACCTCACATAAAGGCACATCTATTGTACATATAAAAATATATTTACTGTATTTAATCTGATTTAAGATGCAGGCCATTATCAGAATAAATACTTTGTTTAAAAAAGTGTGCCTTACAGTCAAAGGAATGCTATTTTTTTTTTTTATAGAACTTAGCTTTTGGAACTCCCTGGCATCCTTTTATGATCTTGCAGCTTCCTTGTGGCAACTACAGTAATTGCCAATGTTGCAAAATAAATTTGTACCTGAATGAATGCATTGTAGTGGATTGACATGTTCTCCCGGCTTATAAGCCCTTTCTTTAAGCTGGGGTATCTGTAGAAAGCAAGAAAGGATACCCAAATTGGATTTCCCCTCTAGTCATAGCAAGGGAAAAGGGGAAATTAAGGGAGTATTCTGAACCCTCACCTCCTTTCAAGTTTATCTTAGATGCTGTCTGGCTGTCTGACTCAGTGGGACAATACATGTGATGCCTTGTGGTTCAAGAGCTGAGGTGACAATCCTCTACATTCCCTGCAAGTGTCAGATAATCAACAACCCCCTCTTCATTTATGAAGAAGGGAGTGGATGTGTGAATGAAGTTACAAATCTTGGAAAAGACCCTCACTACATAAATAAAATTAAATCACAGCTGTTCACTGAAACATGTAAGTGCAGAGATACCTGTTCCTGCCTCTGGGGCACTTAGTGTTTACTTAGTACACCACAGCAAGAATTTAGTCCCTCCTCCCAAAACATAAAAAGAAGTGCTAAAAGGAGTCACAAAATCATCTTCCTCGGCTGAGAGGCCTTTAAGCAGTAGTGACAGGCTTACATGAAATAGAAAAGGGCCCACGTATCTGTTTATATGGAAAAGGAGTTCTCTGAAGAAGCAGGAACATTCCCATCCAGCTGCCACACCAGGTGATCTGATGAAAACAATTTAAATGTACTGTAAGAGAAGAGAGGGACCATTCCACGAGGCTTTTAGTAACACTTATTGTACTATGAGCATCAACTGTTTAGCAGTGCTGAACCTTTTCAAGCAAACCTCTTTCTTAATCTGGCAGATGAGCAGTGACAGAAAATACTGGCTGAGGTACCCAGATACAGGTTTTTTATCTGTGGCAGAAAGGTGATTGTGGGGGAAATGCAAGTACTGTAGGATGATACTCTATCTTTTTAAGTCTGTGTTGTCGGTAACTTGAAATTGTAAGTGTTGGAGGGCAGGGACCACAGCTTTCTTATATATATATAAGTAAGCCTCAAACTTCTGGCACTACTGAAATACAGTCAATTCTCCCAAGCCAATAAGAAGCCTTTAGTACAGAAGCAATTTGCACTTGCCATTGGTCAGTCCAGTGCAGAGGGGTAAGTGTGACAACTCAGGAAAATAATTCTGTAGGTAGGAAGGTCTAAGTCAATGGTTTTCTGTCACAGGAACTCTCTTTTCCAATGCCTGTCTGTTTGGCTTCCCTTCCCTCTCAACACGGTGAGAGAAATCCAAAGACAGTTGTAGATAAGGATGAGAAATGAGCCTGTGCTTTCATAGACATGAACTAAATACACTTATGACAACGGGCAGATTAAAAATTTAAACCTAGTGCAGCAAGACAAATGTTATCTTTCATCTTTCTGGTAGATGTAGTCATACGTTAGCAGAACAACTACTTGAAACAGGACAGAGACAATTCTGAGTAGAGATGGACTGAATTCACAGTCCTTGCGCTAGAAGTTCAGTTATTGACTTTTTTGTGAGGCCGACTAGTGACTCATGCAGATGTGCTTTTTTGGCCTCAAACAGCTTCCAAGGAAGGTTTTTTCAGAGGCACAGCCAAAGAATCATAGTTAAGGCATACTATACGTTAATGTTTATTATAAGCACTGAGTGTAAAGGCAACATGAATAGCCTATATGTACCTGAAAAGATCAAGAAACACACTGCATTCTACTGTGTCCCAAAAAGTCTCACCAAAAGCCCCAAATTCACAGGCCAGTTTCTCACAGCACACATGAATGTATGATTTGGCAGCAAGGACACTTCCTGCAAAACAAGTCTGTCACTATTACTTTGTAGATAAAATAGCATCTTTAAATTTGCCTTTTGGTTAAATCATGTACTGCAGCCTATGTTTTGCAATATGATTCTCTGAATAGCCACCATCTTACCAGTTGTAAATCATAAAAACTGCTAAATCCTTCTAGATTGAAAAAGTAGTAAGTCCAGTGTAAGTTATGACTTCTATAATCCCAAATATGCAAACATGATTATCTATTAAAATGCCAGCCATAAGTTATACTTTAACTAAAACCATTCTGTAATTTTATTGATATATTTTGTGGAGTTCACATATTTTTGTACAGCAAACATAACACTGTAGGCCATGAGAAGCTGCAGCACTATTGTTTAATAGCAGCAAGGTATATTTTATAGTCAGGGTATGTGGACAATAAATAGTCTGTTTCTTTGGATGTGAATGTTTAAAATGAAGTTCTGCTGCAGCTTCATAATGTGATTGCTATTTTACAGAGCTTATACACAAAAATATATATGCAATCTTTTTGTCTATATTTTATACAAATACAACAGTAGTTTGTGAATACATTTTAAAGTACATATACATGATAAGCAACTCAATTTCCCATATCACAGGATAGCAATTTTAAATGCAAGAAACATATACAAATTCTGTCTGGAATGCAGTTTTTTTTTTCCTTTCTATTTTTGACTCAAATCCTTTATCATTAAAACATTTTAGCATACAAGTCCAAACATTTTTTTCACTAGCTAAAAATATAATTTCAGCAATCCAAGTTGGGTTTGAGTGTGTCATCCATTCCCCAATATATTTTCCCAGTTCTTGTCTAAGTAAAAAGGGCTTTTAGTAACACAGTATGTTCTTCACTCCACACCATATAAAAAGCCCACATTTCATTAACTAACAGTCATGTTCTAGTTTTTGAACAAAAGCCGGGCTTGTGTTTAAGTTTGCAAGTCCAAGATTTTACTTCTGCAAGTGCATATGAATACATTGTGGTGTTGTACAAAGTTCATTAATGACAAATTAAGTCACAGTATAAAAATATATCATACACCTATAGGTCTAATATAGTCCTTTTTCTATGGGTAAAAATACATCTGAATGAGACAGGGAGGTTTGTAGCACCATGAGAGGAGTTGTATCCCAAGTTACATTAGCAGCATGATCCAATATAACAATATTGCAGGAGTGTTTCTGAGAAGATAAACATTCATTCTGGTTCAACTGTACCACTGAAGCTTATACTGAAAAAGTGTTTACATATGATTAGCAATAGTTCTGTGTCACTTCCAGGGCTAGATAACTGTTATCAAAAGACACTGCCTTCCAACAAAATAAGACACCCTTTATTATATAAGGACTTTAGGAATTTCCAAACATACTTTTGAACTATTCTGGTATTATTTTATATTCTTCTTCTTGCAATGCTAAATAGATGGTGATTTTAACTGTACACTAGGAAGATACAGGATGGGCAGCTGGGTCTATACAGTTCATTTTATAGCAGATAAGTACGTGTCATAGGCTTTTTATAGACTGAGACGTATACAGGATGAGCTGCTAAACCAGTGTATGAGACAGACGTAACTAATGGTGCCATCCTGCTCCCCTTGACCCAAATGGGTGCAAGATCAGGCCTTGTGTTATCTTCAGACAGCAGCATAGCTATGATAGGATATTATAAGCGTGTCAAATACTTCATGTTAAATTTTTTTTGCAATAGTTTACCATCCAAAACTCCAAAGTACACAGTTTACTATTTGTGAGAAAAAACTCCTAATATTTTTGGACTGGTTATCAAAAATGGCAGTAGAAGACAGTGTAGTTTGAAACATGTAAACCTAGTTTAAAAAAAAAACCAAAAACCATTGTAAAACCCTTAAGAAAGACACACTGGTTCTGTGCAATATAGCAAATTGATAAGAAAACACTGTAAAAATGTACCTGTTTAAAATTACGTCTACCATTTTGTACACAAAGCATTATACCAAAGGCCTACATATATGTAATCTAATGGCACTTGAAACAAATTATAATAAAAGGTTTTATAATAAAAAGCATAACCTGTAAGAAATTTTCTTAAAAGGTTTAGGTTTTCCTTTTGAAAGTGCTATATCTTGTAATATGTGTAACATAGAGTTTGACCAAGCTTTATTTTTAAAAATATTGGCCTATAATACATGTATAGCTCACTAGGCAAATTATCCTGAAAATATGTACTCTTAACATTCATTCTTAGCTTAATAAAGCAATCAGCTCTGGCTCATGTTTCAGTCAGTACATGGTTTTAAAAAACCGCTACTGCCAAATTAACAATAAATCACTCTATTCCACAATTTACTACTAAATAAAGCACAAGCAACAAGTACACAAAAATATATATATATATATATTTTTTTTTTTAAAAAAAAAAAGAAAAAAGAAAAAAAAGAACCTTACTAAAAGTTTAAAAGTTGCACAAAGAGTGGTGCATGATCAGCCAGGACCCCCCTAAAACATCAACTCAATAACTAGAAAATAGGGTTTTAAAAACTGACATTTTAATAGTGGCCAATAACTCTGCCTGGATAATAGTCCAAAGCACTAATGTGTTACTGTTGCTTACTGTGTCAACCTGCTTCCAAATATTCATACATCCTAGTTCAGCGGCAAAACATACGTAATGTAGCCACCAACTGAAACCCTGACTGAATGAGGTTCAATATCTTGTCTGAGGTCCCTGTTTCTTAAGAAATGTATGTTAACTCTGAAGTGAAATGTCAATCCCATTTTACAAAGCTAAGGCACTACCTGAAGTAGTAAAGATTCTGGCTACATACAAAGAAAATGGGTGTTGGCAACTTTTTTTTTTTTAATCAAGTCTAATCAGCAACTAAAACTGATAAACAGATGGCACTGTCTTTTCCTACATGCTAGATACACCACGTGAATACCTTAAGCGATGTGGTGATAGTCTGTCGGAATATTCTGACCTGGCAGTTAAGATCAAACTAAATATTTTAGAAGCGATCTCCCCTCAACCAAACCTAGCAATTCACTGTGGTTTGGATTTTAGTGATACAGTTATACATACTAATTTTTCATATACTGCCAAAACACAACTAAATTACATTATCCATTAGTTCTACAATTGCCTTTATTGACTGATAAATGTGGTATCTGAAGGGGTTGATTCTGTGAGGTGTTCAGTTACCAAACTTTCATTTACTTTAATGTGAGTGGAAGATGCTTGAGTTCCTCTCAGGATATGGCCCGTTACAGTAATGCAATCCATTTATCTTCAGCTCAGACTAGTTAAACAAGATCTACAATAGAGTGATTTTTTTTACTTGCTTTTTATCATATGCTTGCTGATTTAAACTAGTATTGCATTCTGTTCTGTTTATTTTGTGCACTGTTCATTTGCAATGTTTTCCTTTCTTTAACATGGTGGGGGGGAAAAAGCAATATTGAACAAATCATTCAACTAAAGATGTAAGCAAGCAATCTGTTTCATAGAAACCAAAGGAAGCAGTCATGAAGCAGAGCTAAAAGTCCACTTTAAGATAATACGCTCCTAAACCCAACATCTGGGAGTAGTTTGCAGAATTTGAAAAGGTATTTTTCTTATTAATACATCCTTATTTTAATGCCTTTGGAACACAAACATTTATAAAAACATTATCTTTCAGTATTAAAATTTAAATACATATATGTATAAAATAGTAAAACTACACCTGCATATTGCTCCTAGAATAAAAAAATGTAGGAGCTAATGATAAAATATTGGGAGCAAAAGCTCCTTAAACGGGAGCAACTTTTGTTTCTGTGAAGTATATCTATTTTAACCACTTAAAACCTTGTATACATCCTCACTATTGTTAGAGGGAACTAATGTACTTCATTTTTATTTTTTAATTCCTTGTCTAAAAATGACAAGGAAAAAGAATGTTAGCACTGAGTTAAAAGCAAATCTAACTTGCTTTCACACATCACAGTTTTTTTTTCTCTTTTGGTTGTTAGGGGTTGGGGAGTATATTGTATTAGGTAAAAGTGGTGTAAGCAATATGCTTTTACTTCACTCCTAAGAGTCCTGTCTTTAAACCTTGGCAATGGGCAAAACATCCCTAACCAAGTACCCAGGTGTAGTAAGTGTGATTAACATCTAACATGTTGCTTAGGAGGACATAAGACACCATGGAACACAGCTGGAAAGATCCACTCTGCTATAAAGAAAAAAAAAAGATATTTGCAAATTTACATTCACTCCTTAACTGCAGACTAACATTGAACTGACAATGAATATAAAACATCTGGCTGGACTTGACCCACCCTTTGGCTGTGGCAGCTGGGAACGACTGATGCATACAGAAGTGAATATAAAATCTGAAGATTCCTATGTGGTACTCTTTCTATAGTACTAAAAAATCTCCCAGCAAGTTAAAAATTAAATAAAAAACGGTGACAAAATATTTTGCATGATTAAATTAGAACCCTTTTGCATTTCAAGGGCAGCTGTTATTTTTGCCTCTTCCCATCTGACCAGAGTCATTAAAGCACACCACAGTTCCAATTTTGACCTAAAATATCTGACAATCAGGCATGCAATTTCTTTTTTTAATTCTGTTGCATCATAATTTTAGTATTTAAGCTAAACGTCTTCCTATCCAATTTTGGTACACACTACAACAATTTAAGCCAGAAAATGCCGAGCTCTTAAAATTTTTTACCTAACTGTGAAACAAAAGTGAAAAATATATACATGTGTCCAATGTGAATTTTAAACTTAATTTAAAACTTCTCATTTCAGATTATGGATTTGATCAGATCCCAACATTTAGGATTTTTTCAAAGGATTTTAAGGAATTTGTATAAAATGCAAAAAGTAGATTCTTTGCAAATTTTAAAATTCACAACACATAACATGGTAGATCTACCATTTAATTGACAAAAAATAATGACTGATATCTCTGTGAAAAGTTTTAAACATGGGATGCATGTCAAAGCTTAGTAGGGATGGCTTTCTACTGATTTTTAAAGTGTGTGTCAATTGGCAGTGAAAATTAAAACAATACATTGAGACTTTATAAAAACCAAAGTAAACACAGTTGAGAATAAACACTTTCAAAATATTTTTAAAAAGTTAATTTAAATTTCTTACTGGCTTCATGAGATTGGTACTGTACAAAAGCAGAAGATTTATAATATCTTATAGTAGGCACTAAGTTAAAAATGGTCACCTAAGGCATTTCTACAAATAGACAGTAATAAGCCAGCTTTGTACATCCTATTGGAAAGCTTGATGAAAACGTGGTAGGGTCGTGGTTGTGCTTAAACTGCTTGCAAAAGCTGCTGACAATGAGTGCAGAGACCCAAGATTTATACTATTGCTAGGATCCTGAGGATCCTGTGTTTGTGGTGGAAGTTGAGTCATAGAAGAATGTGCCTCCTCCTGTGTATAGCTCATTCCAAGGTTCCCCACGGAAACAGATGGGTTATAGGGAGGGCCATTTACTGGTACAAAGTTGAACAACTGAGAAAAGTCCAATGATGGGGTGCTTAGAGGTTCACTAATAGAAACAGAGTTTTTGGAAAGGGAAACCTCCCCAGATCCATCATCTAGTGGTCCTACTTGAGGATCCAACCCTAATTTAGATGAAGAGGCTTGAGAATCCTGGGATGAAGAAGGCATACCACTTTGCAACTCCATTAAGTAACTTTCAATTTCCCCTTTCAATGGCTGTTCTTTTTCTGGCATAGAAATTGCATATGAGGTAGAACTGAGTGGGTATTTCAAAGATAGCTGGTGAGAAGGGTGGACAGACTCCATATCTATTGGACAAGGCATTCCCAATGGTAATGACGTGGCGACCATTTGGTGTGCAGACGCAGAACTCTGCATGGACTGAATTTGAGTGTTGTAGAGATTCAATTGCAAAGTGTTTGTAAATGGCTTTGATGTCAGGTCACTGGAAGGTAAAGACATCACTGGAAGCAGCTCGTCCTTTATAGGCACAGAAACATTGCAGGTAAAGGGATCTAGAAGGTCCATTGGCTCTGTTTTGACCTTCAAAAGTTCTTGGTTGTGACTCTTCTTCATATGGCGTGTTAAATGATCCTTCCGCCCAAATCTCTGTGCACAATACTGACAGAGGAAGTCCTTTCTTCCAGTGTGCACTACCATGTGTCTACGGACATCCTTTCGGGTGTAGAACCGACGATCACAGTGTTCACACTGGTGTTTTTTTTCCTTCACTCCACCCGATGACTTGCCTGCATGAGTTTTTAGGTGCTCCAGCAGCACTCCCGTGCTTTCAAAAGTCTGCAAACATACCTTACAGGTGAGGTCACCACTTGTTGCAGCATGCAAGGCCAGGTGACGTTTAAATCCAAGCTTGGTATTGTAGTTCTTTCCACATTCTTCACACTTAAAGGCCTCTTTGTTGGGATTGTGTGTATGTAGGTGATTCTTTAGGTGATCTTTTCGGTGAAACATTTTCTCACAATAATTACACTTGTGGGTTTTCTCAGGAGAATGAGTAGCCATATGCCTTTAAACATAGATATATTCTGTAAGTAATTATTTTGATCAAATAGGACATGTGTTCATTCTTTTTTAATGGCAGCTAAATTCTACACTAAAGTTTCTTCACAACAGACCCTCTTTAGCTGACAGCAGGACACTACAAAGATAGTTTGACAAATTTAAATATAGCAAAACATGAGCCATTTCACTTAAATTGACACTTGGGTTTTTTGGTAGTCTTTATAACTACTGAAACAGGGATATAAAAGCAAGCATGAAAGTACTTGTGAGAAAGTCCATAGCCAAAAATTTCTCAAGTCCATACACTTTTCTTGTGGCAACTCCTTAATACAAACAAAAATTCTATTCTCATTAAAAAAACAAACAAACAAAAAAACAAATCAAAAGACATTAGCTGGTAAACTTATGTACTGTAATTTAGAATTCTAGAAACAATCCAATGTCTAATTTAATTAACATAACCTCTCTGCAAATCAGCTGAAGAATGTGTACACAAACATATACTTTTACAAGGCTTAAAATGGCCAACATAAAATAGATAATATAATCTGAAAGATAAATAGAGTTTAATACCTTAGTAATTTGTACTTAGAAACAAAGGCCTTGGTGCAGTCTTGTTGTGTGCACTTGTAGGGCCTCTCTCCTGTGTGAGAGTATGAGTGAACCTTTAATTTCTCAACACTGTTAAAGGCCTTGTCACACAGTTGGCAAGGAAAGTTTTTTCTTGGTTTGGTTTCACCACGCTTACGTCTCCCTGAAGGGACTTTCTGGGTATCTCTTACTTCTGACAAATCACCAGGAATGACAGTGGCCATCGCAGCCTAAACCAGGCCTTCTTGTTGGACACTTGGGAACTGCCCAACTCCACTAAATGATTTAGCTTTAGATGGCTTCTCAAGTTTCATGTGGTCGTAAAAGAAAGCAAAAGGGGACTGGAAAAAAAAAATAAGAAACAACTAGTTTGTAACTAAACTCCATTTTGAAGTTTACTTGCTATGTGATGCTTCTGAGTAAAACTTAAAATAAAATTAGATTCAGCTGGTCTAATGTAATACCTGTAGGCTTCTTTACGCTATTTACTGCAACTCTTATAATGCATTGCTCAGGATGAACAAATCCACATGTGCTCTGGAAGTACTACTAGCTACCTTCCTTTAGGGCATTGGTAGAGAACTGTGATGTTTTAAACAGATTACAGGAGGCATCAAAAATAACTCATTTCAAAACTATATAAATAAAATGGGCTTTTGGCAGCCTCAGATTTCACAAGGGATTGAAAATTTTAGTTCAGTTTGTGGGGTTTGCATACATACACACACATGCATATACATGTATATTTATACACACACGTATATACATACACATGCATTTGCAGTCATTTTTAATCCCTAGTGAAATTTTCCTGTAACTGTAAATTATACTAATACAAACAATGATACGTGAAAGAAGATCTCAATGAATTAAGCTCTTTGTCCACCCCGCCCCCCAGCAATTCCTACCTCTTGAAACAGAAAGTTTTGAGAGATGGATTAGATGACGATGGAGATAATTAATAACTTATTTTGGAAAGCTCACTGTTTAGCGGGAGGCATCAAGATTTGTGAAGTATACCAGAAACCCTCTTAAGATCATACTGACTATAGGAGGTCTAATGCCACTGAAATTGTTGGTTGGCACCAGTAGCTTTAAATTCGTGATCTGGCATTATACAGTAACAACTGAGTTTTACTGATTACTCAGCACTTTACGATCCTTCACGGAAAAAAGTACAGTCCCTTTTTAAACATCAAAACTCAGTTGCTACTTTAATCCAGTAGAAAACTAATCACAAAATAGACCTGCAGAAAGAGGGTAAAAATCTGTATGTGAGAAGCAGAATGAATGACAAGAATTTAGTGCAAGAGGTAGGCAGGGTTTGAAGACAGTAGTTTTCAATTTTTCCACATTTCCCACCCAGCTGCCATCAGTTCAGGAGTCTGGCAGAGCAGCTGTTTTCGGTGCAGTTCTGTTTGCAGACACCAGAGGTCTATGTCAGCAGGCTGAGCTCTTGACTTTAAAGTGAAGCTCTGTTGGAACTAAAGGCCTTGTTCCCAAGCTTGCTGCCTCCTTCAGTGTCTCAGCTCCCCTGCTGAGTGCGCTTCTGCATGCTGGCAGTGCAGAGGAAGCAGCTGTTGGGACAGGTGGAGGAGAGCAGTCCAGAGTTGGGCAAAGAGCACGAGGCAGCAGCTGCTTCAACTTAATGCCACCTCCCCATGTGAACAAAATAAATAATCCCCAGATGGCAGTGAAGGGAAGATAGATAGCTTCCTAGGCATCATGTCCCCTGATTCAGCTGTCCTCTCCCTGCTGCTGCTGCTGGGCTTTGGTTTAGTAAGCATTGAGGTAGCAAAATGCTTGACAATGTGAGCTGAGAGCAATGCATGGGTGACTGGGTTACAGGCTGGAGAGAAAAAGGAGTGGGTCTTGCAGTAAGATCCAGAGCATGCTACTGGAGACAGCAGGAGAGGAAAGTGTCTCCCTGTCTTGTTAGTCAGGAGGAAAAGGGAAAAGAAAGTTGCTTCCTTAATATTTCTGTTTACAATTTTATGAACATGTTAGACTGGATCTTTTTCCATGTAAAATGCACATACAGTTTGTGCGTCTGCCACCTCTATCTTGAAAGAAGAAAGAATTGATAGACAGTCCAAGAGAGGACTAAGGTGCTTCTAGAATGGCATGGTCTTTTTGCTCTGTAATGATTTCTGAACTCAAAAGAATTAACGAGACTGCAACATCAAGCTTCAGGTTGAATATTTAAAGTACAGCTATACCAACAGCAAACTACATATTTTTTTTAAGTTCCCAGTAATGGAAAGATGTTTGTTTAACAACTGATTCTTCAAGAGCTGCCTCCATACATTCCAACACATGGGATGGGAGCAGGACCACAACCACCGATTCAGTAACTGGGAATGTGCATAGGTCTTGAAAGAATCAGATAAATTTTAACCCTTCTCCGTTAAGCGATCAAATCAATCAATCATTTAGGAACTTGAAGCAACTTACAAAACAAAGATAAACTAAGGCTGATTTTAATTACTTCAGTGTATATAAGATGATAATCTGCTCCATCAACTTTAAATCTATGTTATATTTGCAAATTAAAGCATTTTAGTGGCCCTTTTAATCAGAATTTGGTAACAAAGAGAAATCACGTGTCCGCTATGTTACATATGTTTTTGCCCTCCCAAAATTATAAATTCTCTAATCTTTGTATCAAAGAATTAAAGAATACAGAAAAAGATCCTACGAAGATATTGTCTAGTTTCACTATAACCTAAAATGAGTTATGATGATTCTGAATAAACTGTTCTGAAAAATATATCTAAATGTGCATCACTTAAAAAAAATTAAATATGGATTTGACCCCTTATGATGAGTAGCTCATTTAAGAGTGGATTACTATTTCAACAGAGTTTTTAAATAATGAAATACTGAAGGACTTCAGCTCATCTCTGTATATCAAATTCTCTCTCTCTCCCTCCCTCCTGTGGATGTATAGACTGAGCAATGAAGACAAGACATAAACACTGATCCTCAAATATTACACTTTCCAAAGACCAGCTGAAAGAATTTTATGAGTAAGATCGCGTGTTTGTGACTCAACATATTATCACTTAAAATCCTCATTCTAATTGGTGCGTTCACAACTGTTGGATGAATATGATAAACGATATTAAAAAAATCTAATGCATTACAAATTAGCCTTATACATTTTATACTGCTTTTAAAGAAATGCATACTTCAAACAGAGTTACGGTAGCCTCTTTTCAATGCACACCTGATGGTTGCCCACTAAAGTCCTCAGATTTTGGTCTTAACCAGTTCCGCTGACTCTTCTTGAAGGAAACCAGAATCCAGTACTTCCCATTTTTACTGGTCTGAAAAACAAAAGGAAGAATGAACTAGACTCTAAAGAAACCAGTTTATTCAGAAAGGGAAATTAGGAAAGGACATTTAAAGAAACAGAGACATAGCTCTTTTGTAGAATATGTCATTATATTGATTAGAACAGGATGGATGGATTACTCTCACACAAGCATTGATTAGGCATTTAACATTTAAGTATATTAACATCATTTCAATTCAATATCAACAAAAGATTTCTTTAAAAAGTAAAACAGCACAATCTATTTGAATTGGGTTTAACTTTACTACAATTTAACTCTGCTTAATTACACAGGAAATATTGCTTAAAACACAACCTACAAGAGAAAATAAGTCTC